TTTTTGTTTCAAACTTACGTTTCATTGGATAAATCCAAGTGTATCTTGCTTTATGTTCCACTATGGGTAGAAATATTTGTGACCATGCATTTATGGAGTGGATATAGGTCCCCAAATATCTAAGTGAGTGAGATTAAAAAAAAAACATATTATAAACAATAGTACTATATGTTTTTGGGAGAAAGTTTCTTATAACGTGGATCTGTAGTTTTATTGCATTCAATGAATAGATACATTTTTTTCATATAGACAACTTCTCATGAGTGATATGCCCTAACATTAAGTGTCAAACATTATTATTGTAAGTGAAACAAATAATATTTATAGTTTGAAAAACATCACTAACTCTTGAAGAATCCATTTCATATAGGTCAAGTTGCATCTTAGCTGCACCAATTACCAATCATTTAAGTATAGTTGGAATATGAAATATGATAGCTAGAATCAGAAAAAATAATTTTGCAAGCTAAGGATTTTGATAGTTTTGAAACAAATATAAAATTGAAGTTGAAACTAGGAATGAATAAACCATATGTTACATAAAAAAAAAAATTGTTTTTTCAAAAAAAGAAGATTATACCATAAATATTAGTTTGAATAAATTTTCATTTAATACTTTTATATTGATAAGTCTAATTTTCCTGTGACACTAAAACTCATTAAGAGAGTTGCATACATCATCTGTTGCACCTATGTCTTTGACCCAGTTGATATGAAAAAGTAATTAAAAAAAAATGAAAATTATATTGAGGGTTTTTGAATGGTTTAAGAAGTAAAAATTTTGTTGACTAAAGGACCATTGAAAGTCTCTGATTCTTGAAGTAATGCAAGTAAGGTTTTATGTTGTTTCAGATAAATTTCCTTGTTTCAAAAAATAAATCTCTTCTTGAATTTCAAAAATTCTAAACATATCACCTTAATAGTAACAATTCTTAAGATCTTTCCACATTTCAACTGCAGTATCTATCCTTAAAACGCTTTGTGTGATAGAAAGATCTAAAGAATTTATGTTCCGAGATAACACCATCGTGTTACATCTTTCATAAGCTCCATACATTATACCTATAACATTTAGTTTTGGTAATGTACTATCGATGAATTGCAACTTGATCTTTGATCTCAAAGCTACAGTCATTGCCTGAGACCGAGTATGATTATTTGATCCTTTCAATTCAATAAGAACAATTGATACTCATGTATTTTCACTATATTCATGACATAAGAATTCATATGATTAAGAACCTAATTAGCCATTTTTAGATTCATAAAAAATATACATAGGTAGAAGAAAAAGAAAAGCTCTTTTCTAAAGGGCTCTGATAACATAGTCATACTTGAGAAAAAGAAAGTATTGGATTAGAAGAAAAAGTGCACAACAAATTATAAAAAAAATGTTAATTCTCATTTTAAGTTGTATGTGCATATAACGCCCTCTATATAGGTAATCAAATAGGAAAAAAGAAGACTAACTATATATTGTTAACCTAGACCTCAGAATTGTAGATTAAGACTTGCTAACCCCCAACAAGGTTTAATGTTTCTTTCCATATTCTTATTTACTTATTTTCTTTTTAATATTTTTCAAAGCTTCCTTGCTTAAAATGTTTTCTTCTTCTGGAAAAATTATTTATGAGGACTACTTATGGCACACAGGTGGCCCAAAATGTTGGCAGCATAGGACAAAATAGTTGTAATAGAGAATAAATTGAAATCCGCAAAGGAAAGCTCTAGGACCAAGAAGTAGAAGCAAATTGACATTTCTTGAGTTAATTGCATAAGTATGATATGTAGAATCAAGAAATATTTCAGTGAATATGAATTTAATGTGGTGCAATTATGTTTAATCCTATTTAATTGCAATATATATTTCATTCAGCTAGGTTGTTTCAATTTATGTCTAAAGCTATAAATTTATGTAACATATCATATACGCAACATATTATATACCTAAAATTCTCTAAATCAAAATTTGATAGAGGTTTCCTATCTCAAACCTAAAATTTTGCTACCATGACATTATGTATCTTTTAACTTCTCTAAATTAAGGTGAAATCTTAATTTTAAATGGAACAGAATCATATAGTTTTATGTGAGGTGGAAAATGTTCTTACTTTTTGGTTTGATTATGGAGTAAACCTTTTCTTTAGTCTCTAAGATGTGCATCATCGATTAGTCCCTCATGTTTAAGATTTTAAACATTAGTCTCTAAGATTAAAAGTTGTTAATCATTTAGTTATTGTCATAAAAAAATTTAAATACAAAAATAAAATAATAATTTTTCATATTAAGTAACATGTTGGAATCTATTTTCGATACAAAACAATGTCTATCATAGATGCCCTTGGGAGTAGTGGAGAATAAGGCATCACTTAAACCAAACATTGAGGTGGTAGAAGGAAGAAGATAAGTGCAATGTTGGAAGCGTAGCATAAGGACCTCCTACATCATGTTTCAAGTGGCAAAATATTGGAGAGAAACATCAACACTGGCAGTGGAGAGAGCAAAGAGGTCTTTAAGTCAAACAACTAAGTGGAGAGAAGTTTTTATATAATGGACATTATAATAGTTAAGGGCATCAAAGATTTGGTCTATAATTCTCTCTTAGTAGAGTGAATCAAACTTCATTTAGATAAGAGAAAAGTCAACAAGACGTGAGAGGAAACATGTAATTTTTTAATTTAATCATTGAAGGGTGGACTTTATCAGAGGCCATGACACAATCATGAATCTTTTGCAACTTCTAGTTCTGCTCCTTCTACCCCCTAATACACATTACTAAGGTCATAATTGAATATCATTAAGCCCGAAACCATGGTAGATTTGGCATCAATCAGCTGCGAGAAATGTAAACCCCTACATCCCACAACTCGAATTAATATATTAAGGATATATTGCTCTTTTTAAAATATGCTTAAATTATACTATCATCTTAAAATTTTGTTTTCCTTATTTAAAAAATAAATAATGTTACATTTCAATTAGTCTAATCAACCTACTTAAAATGTTAAAACATAAGTGAATTTCTCAAAGATAAATTTTTTTGCATTACTATTAAGTGTCTATTTTGTATAAGTTTTGGTAAGTATTTAGACACTTAAAAACTTGATTTAAATGGAAATTTTTTTAACCCCTTTATCTTTAAGAAATTAAAAAAAATGTAATTACTTTATTTTATTAAGAGTTGTTGGATTTTAAAACCAATTTTCTTTTATTTTGACCTTGTAGAACTTAGAAAATTTTTTGAAAGATTTGAAGTCTCTCAACTGCTCAGCCTTTGGGAAAGTGCTAAGTGGACTGGAGCCAGATAACAAGGTTTGGAAGCATATATCAACTGCTCAGCTGTTGTATAGGTGCTGAGCGGATTGGTTCCAGAGAGGATGGAGGTCTCGGCTTTCGAAGCGCCCAACACTTCTCCAAGTGCCCAGTAGTTTAAGTTTCTTAACCATGAAAAATTCTCTCAACTGCTCAGCCGTTCCCCAAGCGCTAAGTGGTTTGCTCTTTTTTTAGATAGTATAAATAAAAAACAAAGACAGAATAGAGGCGGCGAAAAAGAGAAATACAAAAACAAATGATCGTGAATCTAGGCGTTCAACTGGGGAAGAGGGAGATTCATCATTTTATCTCTTCTACTCCATTCTCTTTTGTATTTGGGGATTGACACTCATCACCATGAGTAGATAAAACACTTTTTTGTTGAGATTGAATGTAATATATCAAACTCTCTTGTATTCCCTTTTGATTATATTTTGATATCTATTATTCAATGTTAGTGATTGTGATTCTGTTCTTAATGTTTTAAATGAACTGATCACTCGTCTTTTGATTTTTAACTTTGATTTCAATTGAAAAATATTTTTTAAGTCTGATCTAAATCATATCACCTAATAGCTCTAAATGCTAGGAATAAATTTGGAGTTATTAGTTGGTTAGGTTCTTGAATTTAAATGCAAGGATCATAATTTGATGAACTGAGGAATTGTTGTTAGATTATAATCCTTAGTAACTTAAATGTAAGGAATTGATTTAGAGTAGCTCTGGAGAACTCAATAACATTAATTAATAGAATTATATTTATATGATATTAGGAATCAATTGAGTTAGATAAATAAAATTTAATCTCAACAGTCTCTCTCTCTTGATGTTTCTTAATTTTATTTGCATTGTTTAATTTTAATTAATTTACATTTCAAATTAAGAAATATCAAAATGTGCATATATAATATATATATAATTCTTTTCTCAAGCTTTAAATAGAATATTAGAATCTACTATTATTTTATAAGTCCTTATGGTTTGGCAACCTTTATTTCATTGTTATTACAATAGATTTTGTTCACTTGCGACACTTTAAAATTTCTTAATAATTACAATTTTTAATGTTATTATTAGTAGCTGATTTAAATCGTTGTGTCATTGATTCTAAAATTTTAAACATTAATTATGTAGCATCCTTTAATAGACTTAGTTTTATTTTTAAATATTTCAAAATTAATAGTAAAAATTTAAAATTAGCTTTCTTTAAAAAAAACGAGACACAAACTAAATTGTATTACTCATAGTTACATATGCAAATGTCACAAGAACGAGAATGATACAAAAATCTGAGTTGACTTTATTCATTTGTAACTCAGTACATATCCTTTAATAAACCAACTCAATATAAATATTGAAAAAAAAAAATTCAAAGAATCATATCATTTGAACTTAATTTTTATGGTATAAACACTGTTAGATGATACTCTTTCATGAAGGCATAAAATCACTATTAAATGAGATAAACTTTATTTTAAACAATTATTAAATACAGTTCAAAAAATTAAATTCTACAAAAAAAACATTGATATATATGATAAAAAAAAATGTAGTTTTTTTTTTCCAACAAAAAAGGTGTACTGTGGGACAAGCCTAATGAACATTCAATTCAGGGCCCATTTCATCAAGCCCACTAACACAGTCCTATGGGACCGTGAAGCAACACGACTCTGTTTGCTTCTTTTTAAATTCTTCTTCTGCATCAGAGAGAGAGAGAGAGAGAGAGAGGGTAAAACCCTAATTCATTACTTTCCTTCTGTTCGCTACAATTGTCAACGACTTCAACCTTTAAACACGGTAAGTCTCTCCCCATTTTTGTTTTTTACTTTCCTTTTATAATATTCTATTAGCACCTATAAATTAAAATAAAGAAAAAGTAGATTAATAATTGGTGATTTGAGAATAATGTAATTGATTTTTAATTTCTGGGGGCAGCAAACGGTGAAATTTCGTAGAGTTACTTATCCTCTGGGTGGGGGGGGGGGGTGTTAAAAACTTAATGGGAATTCTTCTATGTTTGTTCTTAACTTTTTTATTTAGAGTGTAATTCTGCTGTTGAAAGAACGAGCCCCTTTTGCACAATTGCAAATTTGATTTTGTAGTGCGGTTGAATTCCATTAAAAATTATTCGTTTTTGCTTTTGGGTAAATGAAGATTCCATTGAACTTTGAAATTATGTGTACCTGGGTAATTTCAGAAGTGTGTGCAAGCAATTGCGATTTAAGAAAACTTGTAGTAGTTTATCTTATTGCCTCTTTAAGTGTTGTTATGTCAAATTTGCAATTGTACTGCAAAATGTTACCTCTTACGCTGGCTAAGTGTTGATTGTACACCATGGAATTGCATAAAAGAATGATATTTGTGAACATGCTGTTTTGAGTACTTTGCATTAACTTAAAAGTTATGGTAGATTGGTTGTGTGCAGGGTGATGCTCATTTGATGATTCAGAGTTTTGATTGAAGTTTCATTCGCATTCTTTGCCATCATGGTATGTTGAATGTCTTATCTCTCAATTATGTTCTGTTTATTTGTTATTTTATTTGGTTTTCTGTAGTTTTAGGGGTTTTTTTTGTTATGCTCTTCATGGCTGGTGGGGAGATCTTGCATCGTCTCACAAAATTATAATTACTTGTCTCGAGGGACAAGGTTTTGCGCTATTGGTGATAGGCCTGGTCATAGTTTGGTTCACCTTGAAAATTGAATTGTACTAAACCAAAAATAAAAATGACCAAACCAAACTGAATCTGTTATATTTTTCAAGAACCACACTGAACTGGAATTTGGTTTGGTTAACTAGTTATGAACTTGAATCGTTTTATAACTAGTTCAAGAAGAGTACAGCAAATGCAAACCCTTGTCTCTGATCTCCCTCCCTCCATCTTTGACACCGTTTCAATCAATTCCAACAGATTTGGATATTTTTCCAGCATGATTAGTTTAAAAATCAATTATGTATCTTTGGCAATGGATTTCAAATCCTTAGCCAATTTGATCTTGAATCACACCTTCATTGTTGATTGCAAAATAAAAACCCATAATTTATGCTTTGATCTTGTCCTTCCCTTTTCCTATTCAGCATCCAGTTTATCAATCCCTCACGATCTTCCATTTCGCCCTATCAATGCAACGCCTCAATATGTGTAAAAAATTCACCACTTACTTGCACAGCACAGTTGATCTTATCATGGAAACCAATTGGCACAACCATGAAGTGATTTGGCCATCAGCGTCAAGCACACGGAAGCAAGGAAGAATGAAACAAAGTAAAGGTGAATGCTGATTTGGGATCCTAGGGTCCATATTTAATAGAGAAGAAACACAGGATGCATGGACAAATTTTGATTAAGATGTTAATTAAGGTTTGGTTATAAAGTTGTTCACCAAATTGAATAGAAAACAAGCTCAAGTTATTGAACCTATCTGTATAACTAGTTTAGGTTCTTAAACTGTTTAGTAAAAATGTTACAAAATGGAACAACCATCTACCCTCCTTAAAAATACAACAGCAAAAGGACACATCTGATTCCTTAGATATTATTATCAGAAAAAGTCAAATTAAGGAATTCTTAGATTTCATATAATCATTATGATAGTACCTAAAATCACTGGTGGATTTGATATTAGGCATGTTGTATTCAGGCACTTATTTTCTGTATGGGCTGAATGCAGGATTCTAATACTTCCATTGATGATAAGAGTGAAAGTAGACTCTATATCGGTAACCTAGACCTTAGAATTACAGAGTAAGACTTGCTAATCCCCAGCAAGGTTTAATTTGTTGTTTATTTGCACATTCTTATTTACTTGTTTTCTTTTCAATATTTTTCAGAGCTTCCCTGCTTAAAATGTTTTCTCCGTTTGGAAAAATCATTTCCGAGGACTTCCTATGGCACACGCATGGCCCAAAACGTGGGGAGCCACGTGGTTTTGCTTTTATCCAGTATAGCACAAAGGAGGTAAGTAGATTGCATACTGTAGTTACTGTACTTTCAAGCAACTCCTGATTTCCATTGTTAAAGTGAGAATGCAGGAAGCAGAATTGGCCAAGGAGAAAATGCATGGGAGGCTAGCATGTGGCCGAGCATTGGTTGTTCGTCTTGCCAGTGAGAAATACCCGTTGGAAGCAGCTGATAACCCTACAAAAGCAGCAAGTGAAGGGCACAAAATGCATCTCAGTGGTGGCAGCAGCATAGGACAGACAAGTCGTAGTGCAAAAATAGCTGCAATAAAGAATAAACTGAAATCCATAGAGGAGAGCTCCAGGACCAAGAAGCAGAAGCAAACTGACAACATTTCTTGAGTCAGTTGCATAAATATGATCTGTAGAATCAGAGGATACTTCAGTCAATATGAATTGAATATGGTGCAATTGTGTGTAATCCTGTTAAATTGCAATATATATTTGATTCAGCTTGGTTCTTTCAATTTATGCCTGAAGCTATAAATTTATGCAACATACTATGTATCTGAAATTCTCTGAATTGAAATTTGACAGAGATTTTCTTTCTCAGACCTGAAATTCTGCTACCTTGACATTATGTATCTCTTACCTTCTCTAAATTGAGGTGGAATCTTAATTTTAAACGGAATGAAATCATATAGTTTTATGTGAGGTTTGAAAATGTTGTTCAGACTCTTTGGTTTCATTATGGAGTAAACCGTGACTTTGTTCCTAAGATGTGCCACATCATTCAAATTAGTCTTTTACATTAAAAATTTTAAACGTACTCTGATATTAAAAGTTGTTAACCATTTTAGATTTTGTTGTCAAAAAATATTAAAATATGATAACACATGATTTGTCATGTTGACACATTAGAGTGTATTTTGGTAAAAAATGATGTTATTTTAAGATTTTTAAAACAATTAATTTTTATTCTTAATTTTGAAGATTTTCAGACTTTAACATTCCTTTTTTTTTTTTTTTCTTTTACTTTGTCTTCTTTGGAAAGATTATGTCATGGATGACCTTTCAAAGGGGCAGTGGAGATGGTGGTGTCACTTAAAATAGGCATTCTTGTAGTAGAGATCGAGGAGAATAAGCATAATGTTGGAGGTATAACAGCAGAGAGTCTCCTGCAACGCATTTCATTCGGTGAAATTTTGGAAAGACATCAACTCTTACAGTGGTGCAAGTAGTGAAGAGGTCTTTAAGTTGAACAAGCTGGAGTGCAGTTTCTATATAAAGGATGTCATCGTAGTCAAATATAGTAGAGATCTAATTGACGATTCATTCTTGAGAGTGAATTAAACTTAATTTGGATAAAAGAAGGGTCAGGAAGATGTAGGAGGGAACAACGTTTTCTAGTTTAATCATTAGAGGAGTGGACTTCAATAGTGATAGCACAGTCTTTCCAAGAAAGAAGATAGAACTAGTAGCGAGGAAGAAGAAAAGATGTTAAAGTTTAAAAATCTCAAAAATTAAAAATAAAAATGAATTATTTTTAAAAGATTTTAGAATGAAGTTGTGTTCGACGTGCCACTTAATATGTCAAAGTATTACTTTATTATTCAATTCTAACAATGATTAAATTGATTGACATTTCTTAATCTTAGGGATTAACATTTAAAATATTAAATTTGGAGGATTAATTTCAATGACAATGTACATCTAAGAGACTAAAGTGAACTATTTTTTTTTTTTATTATGTTTTCATTTTTAAGTAATATGCATTTCATTAATAATTTTTAAATATATTATTTGCTTTCTTATTTGTATCATTATGTAAAAAAGTAACGTGGAGAAACTTTTTTTTTTCTATTTTCTTAATTATAAAACAAATGATATTTTATAATTGATAAAAACATCCTAATTGTATGGGACTAATTACACTTCTAATCTTTTTACTCTAGCTAATGTCTGATTTTTGTCTAATTTTTTAAGCAAATTTGATGTCTTTGAGGCTTCTTTTACTTCACATTGTTTTCTTATATAGTTGGACATGTGGATTTAACGATAATGAGTTATCATGCGTAGAATTCTTTATTTCTAACATAGTTAAGGCTTTTGGAAATGTCTTTGTCTGTATTCTTAAGGGTTCATTTCAAAATAAATCACAACAAATACAAAGTGAAAGCAAATATATGTTGGGGCTGCATAACTCTTTTTGGATTAAAAGGCTATGGAGTTGTTTCAGCTATCAGCATATACGTATCCTAAAGTTTGCATTTCCCATCTTCTTGTCCACATAAGTCATCTTTCTTTAGAAGACAACATCAGCTACTGACATCTAAGCATACCGTATTCCGCCATATAGAGTCTTCATAATTCAGAGAAGCAAAACATCCAAGTAATTGCCTGCATACTCTTAATAATAGTGCCAAACGTTACAATTTTACAAGAAACTAGCAATATTTAACATTCTGGATCCTAGGAACTAGTGCCTAACTCTTAATAATATGCAACACGTATACTCTTAAGAATAACAGATGTATATAAAGCTATGAGGTTCTCTATGTTTATAAAGCTGAGGTTCTCGCCCTCCCCATTTTTGCTGTTAGATTGGATATTTAGTCATAAGGTTTTGTTAGGACACAACGAAAGGAGCTAGGGACAGTTAACAGTTAGTTAGAGTTAGATATATGAATAGGAAAGTTTAAGGGAAGAGGAAGATTCAGTTTTGATTAGCATTTGGGAATTGAGCAATGGCTCAGTTGTAGGAAGGAGAAACATTTTGTGAAGAAGTAGAAGTAGACACTTGAAGGAGACAACTAACTCCTTTGCTATGTTCTTTTGCTATCAAGAAATACAATCTTTCTTTTTCCCATTTCTAGTTCGGGTTCATGACAGATTTTTATTAACTTAAATATATAGTTGTATTTTCCAGCATGGCATGAAATGAAGTCTACCTATCATGAAATGTGCATGTAGCACAATTTTTGAATATTTAAAATATCGAATCACTATAGTGGCCTATAATTGTTCTAAAGAAATATGCTTTATTTCTTTGATTAATCTTTGTACCGGAATATTTAAAAGATGCTTTCCTACCTTTCTTCCTTGTCACATTATATTATTTGAAAGCAGTTTCTACAAGTTAAATATAGGCTTTCTGAAATTATTTTAAACGATGTTGCTATTGGAGATAGTGGTATGTATGGAAACATCAATATCTTGTGACACATGATAATTAACACGATATATTTCCCGGGTATTTTTTGTGGTGATTGGAGATAGTGGAAGTATATGGAATGTTATAAAGACTATTCCAAGTATTTCTCATGTTTGCACTCGTTCAAGTACCAATCCATCTTGTTATGGTTCTTGGATTGGGAAAGTTGCTTAAGTTTGATTTGAAACCTCCACTTTTAGCGTCGCAACCTGCGGGATGGCCAAGGCCAAAAGCAATTTTTCGAATTGCAATTGCAACAATTCGTGATTTTTTGCTCATGATATGGTGCTTACGCAGAAGGTATCATCTTACAAAATTGTACATGATTTTTGGAAACTTCCAGTTCTGCTCCATATAAGGAATGTAACCGCTCATATCCCACGACTCAATTAATAATACATTCAAGAAAGTTTATTCTCTTTCCAAAAGATGCTTAATTTATACTATCATGTCCTGTAATTTAAAAAAATAAATAAAAAAATCCTTCTTTAAGAAATGAAATAATGTTACACTTCAATTAGTTTTATCAACCCACTTAAAAGTGGTGAACTAAAAATGTGCTAGCAGTGTTAGTAAGATTTGGCAAAAATAGCCACTTCTTCAGCAGGATCTCCAGTCATCAAGCATCTTTTAATCCCTGGCGGCTGCTCAAAAGGAAAACACCTAATAGTTGCCCCAGTTTCCTCTTTCACTTTTAACTCATCTTCATCACTGTGACATTGAGTAAAGACTGATATTAGAGTTGTGAATCATGCTCCTCGTCAATTCATGTTGAAAGTTAAGTTTTCAGCATTGAAACATAGTAAAAAACAAAATAGGAAAAAAAAAAAAAACCAACCTAGCAGACCAAGGGCCCCTGGCCCATTTGCCTTGTGAAATTGCAACTTTAAGATCATCGTATGTGCTCACATCTACAATATTACTGTAAGAGAAATGTTGTGCATGTTAATTTGCCTGTTTGCCAGGGAAGCCAAGATCAAATGTACAATCGGATGTGCATTATATGAAACGAGTAAAATGAAAAATGAAAATTTTCCAAAATTTCAAAAGCAACAAGCTTTTGTGTTTTGATTGAATTGGTCACCAAGTAATATAAAATGGAAAACATTTGTTGGAACATTTTAATAAAACCCTAATGAACACAGGAACCATTCAATTTTAAAATAATTTGCCACCACCAAAGCATTAGAGGAAGTTCTTCATTTTTGTTAGGTACAGTAAGTATACTGAATATATCACTCAGGAATGACACTTCCTGCTAAAATTACATTAAAATCAAGTGCAGAACCAACACTCAGATCAATACAAGGGAAAAATATCTATTTACACGCAAGTCAATAAATTCAGTTACCAAAGCTAACTCTCCTTTAATACAACAACTAAGCGTTATCCCACTATGTAAGGTTACTCTACATTTAATGGTAGAGGAAAATGTTAGGGATAAATTTCCAGAAGGACTGAAAGTTTATAAGAGGAGAAATTTTAGGAGAGGGATTAGGCAGTAGGATAGGGTTGTTATTATTTTCTGTTTCAGATTTATCTTCCTAAGTAGTTTAAATAGGGATTCCAGTAGATAGGAAGGGGGCTGGAGAGCAGCATCTTATAATAGGGCTTGAGCCGCTATAGAGCTCACATTCATTGTTGTTTTCCCTGCTCAACTGAGCCAATTTAATACCAATTCCATTCTCAGAAATTCTATCATATCAGAAAATAATTAAGATCTGAACTTAGGCTAGAACCATAACCAGACTCAAACCATACTATTTGTTATTGAAGCCAAAATCCATGCATAGAATTTCCTCAATGGAAATTAGCAAGCAAATTACAACATTGTTTTAACAGAACTCAATGTTATGCTACCATTAACATTCTTCAAATCAGGAAGGAGATGATTAATGTGACTAATATCAATAAATGGAAGCAGCTATTTATAAGAATTCAATACATGTTAAGACAGTAATGTTTAGGAATCACAACATGAAGCAGTAAAAGAGGAATGAACCTGTCCCGAAATGCAATTGCCCTTTCCAAAAGAGAAGACTGTATCTCATTCAACTTGTCTTTAACATAAGCCTCCAAATTTGAAGGGTCCATAGAGATTCCAAACACTTTCCCTTGCTTCCCAGGGATATCTCTCCTGGATATCACCACACTACCACTAGACACATCACGAGGACCAATTTCGATTCTAAGAGGAACTCCCTGAAATATGAAGATGCAAATGATATAAATGTAGGGCTCGTTTGTTTAATCCTTTTACAAAAGTGATTTTAAGGGTGTGATAAAAAAAAACTGGTTTATTTTTTAAAGATTTTATAAAAAACAAAAACTATTTCTAGTGTAGTTACAATTATAAAAAATAATTTTTATTTTGAAAGTTAGCTATAATTACAACCTTTTTCCAGAAGCTACTCAAAACAGTTTCTCAAAATAATCAAATATATTCTTTTTTTCTAATTCTGTTTTTTCTCAAAATCTTAAAGATACTATAAATTTTCAAAAGTAATTTCTTTTCAAAATAAAATTGATTCTACATGAGAAAAGTTGAAACAGACAGGCTCATGATCAGATACTTAAAAACATTAAGAGCCTGTGGCGTGAGCAGAAGCAATGAACATGATTGGTCCCTGAAATCAATTTTTCATCTAAGTTTAATATCAAACCTTCATTTCCCAGAAATTGAATTTCCATCCAGGGGTTCTTTGATCTGAGTCATCAAGTTTAACTTTAATCCCAGATCTTTGAAGAACTTCTTTTACCGACGTTGCAGCATTTAGAACTGCCACTTTTTCATCATCCTTCTTCCAAATGGGTACAACTACCACCTAAACCAGGCAATGCACCACATGAGTTTGTCAAAAATGAAAAACTTGAAATTTATTTAAATTACAAAGTAAAAGTGCAGGCATGGAACAATATCTTTATCTGGATATAGGAGTTTAGATTAGAAGAAAATACTTTCCATTTTAAGTAAGCATTCCCTATATTTGGAAATGTTTAAAAATGAGAAGAATAAAATGAGAGATTATCATGCAAACTTCACTAATGAATGCAGGTTTTACATTTAGTTGAGTGCTGCTGGATGTTCTGTAACCAAGTGTTAGGATACAATTGTAAGGTATGATACTTAAGTCCCACATTGGAAGTATAAGATTCTAATGAGAAATTTATATGGCCTTAGACTCTCTAATTACAATGGCTAGGTTTTGAGGTGTGATTCTCTCAAGGTAGAATTGGCATCAAAGCCCTCTACCATGTCTCTCAGTTGCAAACAAATAGGGCAGGTGTTGACACCAGCATTGAACGCATTGCAGTGTTCACCTGAGACTAGGCAAAGGAGCTAATGCACAGCCAGCTCATGTGGGTGCCGCAGAGTGTTGAAGAATGTTAGGATCCAATTGCAAGGTATTAAACTTAAGTCCCACATTGTAAGTATGAGATTCTAAAGAGAGATTTATAAGTCCTTATCTTTGGTCTCTCCAACTACAATTGCGAACTTTTGTGATATATTTGTCCCAAAGTTCTTATCAGCAAGTTTTCAGCAAAAGTAACAAATTACACTATTGACCATCTATGTCTAACCAAGGTGCAGAGTGTTCCAACAGTAAATTTTCACCAACAATCATGTCAACACATGATTTAGACACCAATAGCAATATAGCATTCAAATGTACCTGTATCGGTGCAATCTTAGGGGGAAGCATTAGGCCTGCATCATCTCCATGTGTCATGATGATACCTCCAACAAAACGGGTGCTAATTGCCCATGATGTTTGCGAAACATATTCCCTAAGTCCATTTTCATCTGTGAACTGCACAAGCATACAGTTTGAGCAGCTGCATCCTCATTGAAAGATTATATCAACACATAAGAAAACAAAAATAATTAAAAAAAAAAACTCCATAGGAAGGAAATACTTTGTATTATGCAATATTGAAAGCAATACATCAGACCTGTGTTCCAAAGGCACGGGCAAAGTTTTGCCCAAGGTTGTGACTGGTTCCTGCTTGTAATGCTTTCTTATCACCCATCATAGCCTCAATCGTATAGGTCTTACAAGCACCAGCAAATGTTTCCACTCTAGATTTTCGACCTGCAATAACAGGTATTGCAGCTTGCTCATAAGCAAATTTGGTATAGATGTCAATCATCTGTATAGCCTGCAGTTGAATAGAATATTGTTATTAGATTATACTAGTAAAGACTTTATCATCTTGACATAGAGAACACGAGGACCTCATTTTCTGCCTCATCTGGAGTCGCATGAGCAGTATGCCCTTCTTGCCAAAGAAATTCAAGAGTTCTCACAAATGGTTTAGTGCGCATCTCCCATCTTGTCACATTTGCCCACTGAAAGCAAGTAAGCAAAATTGCCCCATCATTCAAGAAAGCAATTTCTTGCAAACAAATAAACCCACACGGACCAACATTACCTGATTAATCAAGAGAGGAAGATCACGGTAGCTATGGATCCACTGAGTAAACATATGATTCACAATGGTTTCACTCGTAGGCCGGACCTGCCACAGCCTCAGCAGGTGCAAAAATCAAAGACAAAACCTTAGGTCACAGCTTTTCAATCAATATTACACATGATTAATTGCTCCAATTTAACTCAGATTACAACGAATATTGAAAAACAAGTACATGAAAGTAGCTGTGACAAACAACGAAAGAGAATACATACCACGAGTTTCTCTTCAAGTTCCTTTCCACCCCCAATTGTCACAAGTGCTAACTCAGGACTGAAACCCTCAACATGACTTGCTTCTTTCTCTATAAATGAGTATGGGATAAACTGAACCACAGATTGGGGGAAAAAATAAAAAATAAAGCATCAAACAAATGATAGATACAATAATTTCATGTTCTGTTCATAATCAAATATACCACATTATCAAGATCTCACTTTGCATAACCATCACTTCTTGACACTACATATAACAACGGCACAGTATAGTAAGAAACATTGCAAAGCATTTGCAAATATACTCTCAATTATAAATGTAACCATAGAAATAATAGCACCAATTTCAGAAAAATAAATCACTAAAGGAGCATTTGCATTTACTTGTGGAAAATACATGTTACTATGTCCAGTCTCCTTGAACTTCACATTCAAATACTCCTGCACCAACAGCATATATATAAATAAATATTACATAAATTGAAATTTTGAAAGTAAAATGGACACGAAGGGAGGAATTGAAAAGGAACCTGAATGGCTTCCCAAATGGCGTAACCGTAGGGACGAATGACCATTGTGCCGCGAACCGGACCGTAATCAGCTAACTCAGCGTTGGCGATAACGTCCAGGTACCAAGCGTTGAAGTCATGTGACCTGGGCGTGATGACTCGCTCGGGGACTCGGTTCTTCGAGTTGTCAACTCGGTCCCGGGTCTCCGCCGCGGCGCTTTGGGCGGAGAGCGGTCGGGGCCGGAGAAGGTGACGCCGCCGTAGAATTGCCGGGGAACGGCGAGTAATGTAGGCGGAAGAGGGTGGGGAGAAGAGGTGCGTGAAAGAGGTTAGCCGAAGAGACAACATTTGTAGTTTGGGGAAGACAGGGAAGAGATTAGATGAGGTTTTGGGATTTGATGACGAGGCTTCTGAAACAAGACTTATGAACAGCCGAACAATTGCTACCTACTAATCGAATCCAAAAGCTAGCCACTAATCCCAGTCGAATTGAGGGATTTTATTTAGTAAATGCATTGCTTTTTGTGATATCTCGCCCTTTCACTTTGGAAATCCTGGATCAGAATATTTACGATCATATTATTAATACACTTTTATTTGAAGAACTAAAATTTGACACAATAAATAATAAATAATTTATATATATATATATATATATATATATATATATGTGTGTGTGTGTGTGTGGGTGTGTGTTATAAAATAAAAAATATTTTTTTTTAAGCATTTACTTTTTAAGTGTTCAAAAAACATTTTTAATAAAAGCAAGTAACACCATATTTTAAAAGGGTCAATTATCTATATTAAAATTCTGAGATAGAATTAGGATAATTATATATTTAAATGAAATTAAAAATTACATTAAGTAGGTTGAGATTTTATTGAAAAGAAATATATTATAGTCTTATTCCTATAAAATACCGTTATTATATTGTACAAAAACATTAATTTCTATTTGATTATGTACTAATTATTGAAAAACACATTTAATGTTTTTTGAAATTTAAATATTAAAGGCTTATAAGTTCATCACACAGTAATTTGTAAATTTAAACAAACTTTATCTTTTTTTAAAAATATATAATTTATTAGTAATAATAAATATTTTATTGTATTGACTTAGATTAAATTAAAGAGATAAGAAATTTAAAATAAAATTATAAAAGTGAATTTTGAAAATCAAGATGTATCGTTTTTTATATATATAAAATATGCTTAAATTTAAATATTAAATTTAAAATTAAATTAATTAATATTATAATAATCTTCAAATTTCCTTTATTTTAAAAATACTAATATAAATATATATAATTTAAATTTAGATACTATGTATTTAAAAATTAAATAAATTTAAAATAAAAGAAAAGTTAAGTAGCTTAATAAAAATTAAGACTACTTGATAAAATTACTCATTTTATTTAAAATAAGGATAGACTCATTAATATGAAATATTTTTATGTTTTTTAAAAATTTTATTTAAAGTTTACTCTCAAACCTTTAGTAGATAAAATTATTTACTAAACTATTATAATTAATTTATAAATATTAAATTTATAATAAAGTTAATCTATTTAATTTTTATCAAGATGTTGATAATTTATTTTAAATATTATTAATTTTAAATTTTAACAATATTATTTTATTAAAATAATAAATTTTTAAATTTTTACCATTATTATGTAATATATATATATATATATATATATATATAATTATTTAGTTTTATATGTATCATTCTACATATCAATAAAATTTGTTAACAAAAAATAAATAAATAAAATTTTAGACTTCAAAAAATTATTTATCAATAAAAACTACAAGCTGAAATAGCAATACTCTTTAATGGATTAAAAAAAAGAGTAAGGAGTAATGCCCTTTTATATATATATTATTGTTACTCAAAATTTATATTTTTATTAATTAAAATTTATTAAAAATTTTAATTTTATGAGAAATACAAAATAATTAGAGAATAAAATTTATGTGATTTTGTATTTTAGAAAAAATAATTATGTTTAAATTAATTAATTTTCTTTTTACGATGTTTTATATTAATGCATGGGAGTTATTGGTACTCTTATTTACATATCTATTCTATACTGCTCAGTGCTCACTAATAACTTGTAATTCTGATTCTTATTATTATCCCCACTTAAAAAAATTAATTATTAAATTTAAATTTAGTGCATTAAGATAATACTTTTCATTTTAAGTAAGCATTCCCTATATTTGGAAATGTTTAAAAATGAGAAGAATAAAATGAGATTATGCAAACTTCACTAATGAATGCAGGTTTTACATTTAGTTGAGTGCTGCTGGCTGTTCCGGAACCAAGCGTGTTAGAATACAATTGTACGGTATGATAAGTCCCACATTGGAAGTATAAGATTCTGTGAAATTTATATGGCCTTAGACTCTAATAGTTTTTGAGGTGTGATTCTCTCAAGGTTTCTCAATTGGCATCAAAGCCCTCTACCATGGCTCTCAGTTGCAAACAAATAGGGCAGGTCTTGCCACTAGCATTGGCTGCATTGCAAATGAGATGATTCTAAAAGAGATTTATAAATCCCTATCCTTGGTCTCTCCAACTACAAGTGGTTTAGCGCGCATCTCCCATCTTGTCACATTTGCCCACTGAAGGCAAGTTAGCAAAATTGCCCCATCATTCAAGAAAACAATTTCTTGCAAACAAATAAACCCACAAGGACCAGCATTACCTGGTTAATCAAGAGAGGAACATCACATTAGCTATGGATCCACTGAGTAAACATATGATTAACAACAGCACAGTATAGTAAGAAAATTGCCAACCCATTTGCAAATAACCTCTCAATTATAAATGTAACCATAGAAATACTAGCACAAATTTCAGGAAAATATATAATTAAAGGAGCCTTAAAAGGTGAGAAATGAAAACGAACCAAGTGGGTACCATTCTTCCTCGTGTTGAACCTGTAGCTCCCGGAGAGGGTGAAAACTCTAGCACTATGATACAAAGTGGATAAATCTGAAGGAGGGTTTTGGTTGGTGAGGGAAATGGATTTATCTGCAGAGAGAAATTTTGAATCTTGGTTGGTGGAATCACCTAGGAAGATGCGGTGGAAGAGGACAGCATCGTTGTGTTATCCACAAGTAAGAAGGTAACTATCTATGTGAGTGAAAGAAGATGAACAAAGGATGAAAAGGAAAAGAATAAAAGGTTGATTAGCTTTTAGGTCTCCATGGTTAGTTTGAAAATCACATTGATGTAGAAGTTGTGAATTACAGTACAAACATAATTGGATGATACTCTTTCATGAAGGCAGAAGATCACTATTAAATATGATAAACTTTAAAAAAGCATCCATAAATTACACAGATTTCACTAAACTACAAAAATAATATAAATCCTTCAAATTCTACCCAGCACAGGATCATCTCACTTATCATTCCAAACAAACACAACAGACTACAAAATCACTATTAAATAAGATATACTTCAAAAAAGCATCCATAAATTCCACATATTTCACTAAGCTACAACAGTAGCAAATAAACTTTAAAAAGGCATCCATAAATTACACATATTTCACTAAGCTACAACAGTAGCAACTTAATTCTCCTGAAATTGATGACCACAGCGAGTACATGTGTAGAAAGTAGTTTGCCCTTCATCCGCTGATCGCATCTAAAATTAGAATAATTAAAATAAACATATGGAGTACCAAATAAGCTTCAAATTAAATTGGCAAATAAACATTATAATGTCCAATGATACCTGTCTAGTATAAAAGGTAGCTTCATCATGACCACATTTTTCACATTTCTTGTTGACCTGTCAAGAAAGGGAAACATTTAAACATACAAATATCTTCTAAAAAAATCAACCCATTAAATATTTACAGCAGGATGCATTACCTTAGACAATTGCACCTTCTGTTCCTCAATTATTTCAATTCCAAGCTCTCTTCTGATATCCTGCCAAGCACAAGAATAAACAAGGAATAATCTAGCTAATTAAACTAACTAGTAACTTGTAACATCCCCATTACAAACAAAGGCATACAGCTTTTCTTTGAAAAAATCACTATCCAAACTTTCCCAAAACATGTCATTTACTTGCATATACCAGAAAAAAATAAACTATCAGTTTATCATGGAACTGTAATTCATACATGTCAAAGTTCATAATGGAGGTGAAGATAGACATATCCATTTTTCTTTCAAAATACAATAGACAATGACATATAATGCACCATACATATTCATATCCACTCACCAAACCGTACATAAGCCCAAGAAACAGAACACTGACATATAATGCACCATCATATTCATATGTTAGGCAAAGAAATAAAGCATACCTCAGCAGAAATTGTGTAACTTATTTCACGATCACGAATATCTGTAGTCAAGAACATTCCGTTACGACGCATAAAGCAATTGATACAAGAAAGGTATATCTATGTAATGCAATTTCTAAATATGCTTACGAATTTCAATAAATATGCAGACCATAGTTGTTATTCTCGGACAGTGGCCGACTCCAACAACGCTATAGCATAATAGCCTATGGAGGGATCACTTTTATTTAAAAATTTATAATATGCATATATAATATGTTATATGCACAGAATTTTAATATAAATGCTCAAGAAATTTTCAAGATTACATAAACGTCATTTTAAGTAATAGTGTAAAAGTGCAAACACTGTAGCATGGATGTTATATTAAACTAAAAAGGCTAAACAGCAAAACAGAGCAGAAAAGCAAGAATGATAAGTTAATAGTAAAATAGAGCTCAAATAGAAAAGCAGAACAGACGCTGGAAAAGCTTATTTCTCCGGCGAAATGGAGTGGGTGAGCCTCCGGACTAGCTGATTTTTCCGGCAAAATGGAATGGGTGAGTCGGTGAAGAGGGGGAGAAACTGCTATGTTGAGGTTTCAACTTTTCGTGCAGAGGAAGAGTGTGGAGGAAGATGAAATATATGTTTTATCAAGTTAAATGACATTTCTACTCTTACAAATAATCAAAACGGTGCGTTTTATAAAAAACAGAAAAGGGTTTCTCCCTTTCCCCAAAATCGCGCAAGAGCAACCGCGACTTCTCCTCCCTGCTCTGGAGGCGAACCACCCGCAACTACCGCGACGTGGCGGTAGGGGCAGCCGACGGCCGCTCCGGACCGCACCGGCGCGATAGGATTTAACCAACTATGATGCAGACATTAAAATAACTAAATAAAAGAAGGGAGGAAATTAATTTAAAAAAATAGAAAAGAGGATTTAACCATCTATGTTTTGACGAGTTTTGCATAAGGGACATTCAGCGAACTTAGGGGAAGGGACAGTGAGCATTGTCCCACACAAATGACAGTACAAGAAATCGCGTCCGCGAGAGTAAGCCATCTTCAAACCCGAAGTTTAGGTGCTGCAGGGATCTTCGAACCAGTGCTGCAGAGATGAATCCCAAAAACCCTGCTACTGGTTTTCTTTTTAAGGATTTAGGGAAGTTTAGACATTTTGGGCCGTGTTAATGGCAGGTTCATCGTACAGTATATTGTAAATTTAAACAAAATTTATCAATTTTTAAAAATAAATAATTTATGATTAATAAAAAATATTTTATTGTATTAAATAATATTAAATTAAGAATATAAAGGATTAAAATAAAACTATAAAACAAATCATGAAAATCAAGATGGTAAAATATGCTTAAACTCAAATATTAAATTAAAAATAAGATTGATTAATATTATAATATTTTTTGAATTCTGTTTAATTTTAAAAAATACTAATATAAAATAATTCTAATCCAGATACTATATATTTGAAAATTAAATTAAAAATAAAAGAAAAGTTAAATAACTTAATAAAAATTAAGACTAGTTTATAAAGTTACTCTAGTTATAAAATAAGAATTTTTATAATGCTCTTCTACGGTGGGATAAGGTGACTTTCTCTTTTGTATGACTAATCTTTCTCTATCTGATGTAAGGAAAGTATACTTGCAAAAGATAATCTGATAATGAAGTCAGGTGTCGGTTTAGGTAATAAATATTATTTAATATTCAAAAATTAATCATTTACATGTATCTCTTATGTTCCTTTTATAGGCAATATTATAGTCTAATAGACTTTGTAAATCAACCTTGATTTGACCCTTCAATTAAGTAAATAATGATCTAATTATTTACTCTAATTGATTTAATTATTCTTTAATCTGACCGAGAGGGTACTCGTACTATTGAGGCCGAAGGGGTATTCGAATTCTTTTTTTTATCTTTAAAACCGAATGGTGTCTTATCCAGTACATTACTCCCCCAAGTTTGAGGAGGTACGACTGAAGGGTTTATTAAGTCCTGTTGTCAGTTCTTTTGTTGGTGATGCATTTTTTGGCATGTAGGTAATGATGTAGAGGCTTCTGCTTCCATATTCGGTTTTGAGTATTTTTCTGAGTAGGTATTCGAAATCCTTCTATTGATATTGAGACCGAATACATGTTCAAATCGATCTTTGAATTTTGTTAGGGTTTTGGCAAATTAGGGTTTCAGTTTTTTAGGATTTTTCCTCGGGGTTTGTGCTCTTGAAATGAAAGGTTAGTTAATCATATCCGCTCATCTTGAAAAAGATCTAACGGTTAGAACAGGGTGGGATGCTTCATCTGCCCTAAACCTTGTGCTCTATAAATACATGGTGGACTAGGCTTCATCTTACGCTTGTCATCGTGTTTTAGAAGTTTTCTCCTCATTTGGGGGATACATCCGAATATGGTTATATCCCGAGTATGCGTCCAAGAAACTGAGTATCTTATGGTCGACAGCGCCGTCAACCAGATTGTCAATGTTAGGAACAAGATAGGCATCCTTCGGACATGCTTTATTTAGATCAGTAAAATCAGTGCACATCTTTCACTTCCCATTAGCCTTTCTTACCATCACAACATTGGTCAACCAGGTAGAGTATCTTACCTTTCGGATAAAACTAGCTTGCAACAATTTGGTCGTTTCTTCCTAAACCGCTCGTGCTTGCTCTCCCCCTATCTTTCTTTTTTTTTCTGTGCTATTGGTTTTGCCCCCTTATAAACTGATAGATGGTGACACAAAAATTTAGGGTCTATTACTGGCATGTCTGAAGCCGATCATGCAAATAAATTGGTGTGTATTGTCAACACTTTTTGAAGAACTCGTTGTTCCTCCAACGACAAACTGGTTCCAAGATAAGTGACTTGTTTGAATTTTTTACCTAGCTTAAAAAGCTTTTTGTCTTCATTAGATTCAACCCGAAAGCCCCTAATCAATTCTTGGATCAAGCTCTACATCCAAATTTGCTCTTGACTGAGGGGATACGATGTTAACATCTCGTCTACATTCTTGGAAAAGTTTTAAACACAGGCTTGCAAAGTAGCATTCTTTGATTGTCTTTTGATCGGCATGAGCGATGATGATTCAGCCCTTCTCGAATGGAAATTTCATAGCCAAGTGAGGAGTAGACACTATGGCCTTTAATTTATTAAGGGATAGTTGGCTGAGTAGTATATTATATGAAGTATTTGCACGTACCACTAGGTAAGTGACCTTGATACTCTTTCCTTCGTGTTCTGGTCCAAATGAGGTGTATAAATCGATACAGCCATGAGTCTCCACTCGTTCCTTAGAAAACTGACAAGTGGTTCATGATACTCCTTCAATTCCTCTTCTGATATCCCAAGTTGCTTGAAAGTATTCCAATACAGGATGTCAGCTGAGCTCCCTTAATCAATTAGAGTCTTTCGGACCGTGCAATTAAGAATATCGACGCTTATGACCATGGGATCATCCTAAATCGGGTCAACTCCTTGGAAATCCTCATCAATAAATGTAATGGGGAGATTCATATTCTACTTCCCAATGAAATGTGGTTGACAGAGCAAACTTGTCTCAAATGTCTTTTTCTGGCTGAGTTAGTAGATCCTCCTCCAGCAAATCCACCTACTATAGTATTAATAATTCGGCAAGGGTATTTCTCGTGTTCGCCATAATGGTTGACAGAGGGCTCCCTTAACCTGCTACGCTGTCGTTCAAATTTTTTTATCATTATATCTTCTTGATGATTCGGGGTAACAGTTCCTACCCCTTTCAGTGTGAACGACGGGATATGTTTGTACAAACCCTTGGAGGTGCCCAGCTTTAATCAAGTCCTCAATACGATCTTTTAGGGTCGTACACTCCTCAGTAATATGTCCTCTATTCATGTGATATCGGCATAATTTAGACTTGTTTGCCCGATGAGGGGTATTCGCACGCCTGGGGATACTCAATATCTCGATTGTCAGTGCCTGCTCGAGTACTCTAGACCGGTTAGTGTTTAAAGTAGTATAAGTGGTATACTTGGGTCTTTTTGGTAGTCACTTAACTTCTCCTCTTGGTCCTTGTTTTCTGGTCTAGCTTTAAAAGACTCCCTTTTGTTGGCCTCTTTGGGGTTGAACCCTTGCTCTATCCAGACTTGGCTTTAGCATTCGGCCAACTCTTTCATCTGCATATACTTTGCGGCCCGGCTTCTTAATTCATCCAGGTCTACAGGTAGCTTTTTACATATATTGTTGACAAAAGGTCTTAGTCTCAAGACTGTTGTGAGGTGATGCATTGCAATTGCCGGCTCCAAATTGTGGATTAAGAGGACCACTTTGCCAAAGCGCTCCATGAATGCTCTAAGTATTTCTCTTTTTTTTCCTGACGAATGTTAACCAATGTTAAAGACGTCAGAGGATGGAGACGGCTTACAGCGAACTGTAGATTGAATCATTTGGTAAGCGTTGCAAACGAATCAATGGACAAAGGGGGTAGCTTAGTGAACTAGTTGAGGGCTGGTCCACGGAGTGAAGTAGGAAATATTCTGCATAATAGAGCGTCACTTTCTGTATATAGGCCAACTTGGGTTGTAAAGATATCCAAGTGTTCCTTAGGATCAGATGTCTCATCATACTTTTCTAGTGTTAAACCTTTTCAGTTCTCAGGTAGTTTAGCTTCCAGAATAGGCTGAATGAAAGGACTTCGACTTGAAGTATCGTCTTGTTCAATAGGGATTTTAGTTTGCTGGCATACATTTGGTTTTGCTTGTAGAGCAGAGGACTCTCCCTACTTCTGAGCAAATGGCGTAGTTTGAGAGGATATGTATGTTCTGATTTCCTCCCTCAAGTTGGCATTCTCCTTCTTCAAAGCAAACAGCTCGAGAGCATCTCTTTCTCTTACCCTTTGCATCTCCATAATTTCAGCCTTAAGTTATCTTACTACCACAAAAAGACTTTCGTCTCTTCTCCCCTCGGCTAGAACCTCAGGGATTGGTTGGTTGGGTGTAACATCTTCCTGCTGACGAGAAGTTCCTCCTTGTTGATTTTGTCCTTCCTATTGGCTTCTGGTAAGTACCATGATTGCTCTGAAAATTGAGGCAAATCGATCCCCACGGTGGGTGCCAAAATGTTCCTGCTGGGGATACACTGATCTTCAGAATGTTCTTCTACTGTGAGATAAGGTGACGTCCTCTTTTGTATGACGGGTCTTTCTCTATCTGACGTAGGGAGAGTGCACCTGCAAAAGGTACTCCAATGATGAAGTCTTGTGTCGGTTTAGGTAATAAATACTATTTAATATTCAAAAGTCAACCATTTACTTGTACCCCATACCTTCCTTTTATAGGCAATATTATGAGCTAATGGACTTTATAAATTACCTTTGATTTTGACCTTCAATTAAGTAAATAATGGTCTAATTATTCTTTAATCTGATCGAGAGGGTACTCGTTCTGTTGAGGTCGAAGAGCTATTTAAATTCTTTCTTTTATCTTTAAAATTGAATGGTGTCCTATCCAATATATAATATATCATATTTTCACATTTATTTATAATTAATATTTAATATTTTAAATTATTAATAAAATTAATTATTTAATTTTTATCAAGACATTGATAATTTAGTTCACATTTTATTAATTTTAATTTTAAAAAACTAATTCATTAAAGTAATAATTTTTAAAATTATTGCCATTATTATGTAAGTAATATATATATATATATATATATTATAATTAAAAATATGAAAAAAAAATTTATATATAAATAAAATAATTAATAATCAAAAGATAATAAATCATAATAAAATGAGAAATATATATTTTTTAAATTATAATATTATCAATCAATTAATAAATAAATATTTATAATTTTTTAATAAAAACTATTAATAACATTTTTAATTAAAGACCATTCTAAGAAAGCATTGGAATCAAAATCGAGAATTAAGAGAGACCGTCTCGAAATAGTTTAAAAGATAAAAAAAAACAGAGGAGAATGGAGAAGAAAGAAGTATTAAACTAATTGAATATTTAATATTAAGAGAAAAAAATAATTAAAAATTAATTATACAAATAACATTATTCTTTCTATTTTATTCCTATTTTGTTGTTCTTTTTTATTTTATTTTTAAAAGTATATAAATTAAATATTTTTTCTTTAAAAATTAAAATTTAAAAATTTATCTTTTTATTTTTTTTATTCTAAAAACTAA